TTCATTTTGATCATGGAAAAATGTGTATTTTGGGTTGCTTTTTTAACCTGAAAACGGGGGATTTTTTTTCTTTTAATCAGAGAAAACCAGATTCCCTGGTCATGACCTACTTTCACTGGTGCAAATTGTAACTACAGTAAGCTGCTCTCCTTCTGAGGTCATTTGATAGCTGATTGATTATAAGGATGATTGATGTATGACTGGAACTGCTCCTGGTCAATTGATTGGACACTCAGGTGATTAGCAGATGTGATAGGACCAGAGGTAAAAGGAGCTTGCATCCATGGGCCTGGGTTTTGTATGTGTTAGGTTTGCTTGATGTACGTTTGTGGGATATAATTGTGGGGACGGGTGTCCGAGGTGTGGTGGGAGGTTGCCTGCCAGCGCGATGTGATTGAAAGTTGGGGTGTGAGTCTGCTGGGTTGTTTGTTGGATCGATGAAGACTTCAAAGATGGAGCCTTTGGAAGAGCAAGTGCCTGCCACCTGGTGGAGCGCAGGTCAGAGCCATTCTGCTCTCTGGGTGTTTGTGTTACTCAGACCGCTTGTATTTCAGTGTCCGTAGACTCCATGTATACATATTAATAACCTGTTAACCTGTCAAATTCATGTGTTCATTGTTGCCACGTGTATTACAAAATATTCTTGTTATCTAACTTTACTTAAGTCTGTGTGCAATTTCAAAGCGCTTAGCAGAGTCAGGCTGTAGACTAATACTAGGCATTATAGCTCCATATATCCACCTTTCTCTGGCTGGGATTCTTAGATTGGTTTATTAAATTAAGAAAATCTTGGCCCGCTTCAATCCTTATCTACCAGGACATCCTCTTTCACTGTAATGTTTTTAAAAAGTAATTACCATAAAGATAAATAGCACATATGTCAGACAGAAATCCTGCCTAATTCTTCTACTAGCTTGAAACACAAACAAGAGTTGACCTGCACCACCTATTCTGAACTAAGACTAGCTAGCAGAATGCATCTCCCTCACAGAACATGATAGCTCATGTCAATGCCCATAGATAAAAGCTTTTCCCATAAACTCTCAATTAAGTAAATCAAAGGCAGATTTTAAATTGATGAAGGCTATAAAGTAGGTTGTTTTTTAATCTTGGCATAATTGCCTTCTACTACCCTATGTTATTGGTAATAAGCAGTCACAATAAAAGCTTCATGAATACCATCTTCCTCCTCAATATTCTGTGCTGGCTAGGGGACACAAAATGTGTTAATCATGGAGCTGATCCAGCCTACATCATGAATAATGCCTGTTTTGAGGGTGCTACTAGGGAGTAGAATCCTTAAAAGTGTAGCTGGCATGTACAAAGAAAGCGTCCTAGCACCTTCCACCCCATGCACCCAGATAGCTCTCCTAGTTGCTACATTGTTTGGGGTCATGGACTGAATTCCTGCCATCTCCTTTTGGATATTTCTTGCACTACAGTAGGCACTAGAAAGGTTACTTACTCCCGTTGTGGAGTACTAACCCCATAGTCCTAACTGGCCCCTGTACAGGGGTGCAAGAAATCAGGCTTCCTTTTATTCACCTACATATTCTATGACCCAATGTAGACTTTAATATAGGGAGAACCATGGACCCAGCTGTTATCTAGGCTGAATGCTTTGTAGCTCTACAGGACACAAAAAATCCTTCTCCTGCCTGCAAGGACTGAAATGCACCAAGCTACTTTGCAAGTCTACACTCATTTCATAGCAGAATTGAAACGGCTGCATTCTCAGAGCAGCTGCTGGAGCTAGAGGGCCAGCATTTGTCCTTGAATACATTTTTGCTCTACCTGTTTCTGTAGCTTTATAAGGAAATAAGGTAAGCAGGTAAACAGATTAGGATTTATCCTGTATTAAGACGGATAACAGGACAACATGGGACCCATTTGTTTCTTATTAGTTTACACATAATATGGACTGGCTTATCTCATTGTTGTTAATTTGTGAGTTTATTATAAACAGAGCCGACTCATCTATTGCCGAACTGCTGGAAAAATCTGTTCTACCATTTTCCTGATATTTTGAGGAATTATATTATTTCTAATAATTTATTCTATAGCAATGAGAACATTGATTGGTCAATTTCAATTGAAATAAAGTAGTTAGTAATTGAAGCTTCTGGTACCAGCAAATAGCTGGGGGTGGGGAGGGAGGGGGGAAAAGAGAAAAAGCCAGCCCAACTATTTTTTTGAGAATACAAGCTTGAATTTTTCAGTCTACTTTGCTACAAATTGCCAAAAATATATTAATTTTAAAATGACCTGGAAATCAAACTAGGTGCAGAATTTAGGTGCAATCTGTGCTTTTGGATCTAAACAGGGTCCCTCCATGTACTTGGTAAAATTTTAAAAAGTGTTGGTTTTGATCTATTAAACCTTGAATGGTCTGGGACCTAATTATCTAAAACCCAGGCTCTCACTGTGGTATACTGCTCCAGCTGAAGTATCTGATCTGGAATACCTTGCGTATAAGAAACTGGGCTGCTAGAAAGCATTTTCCATGAAGGTTCCTTAGCTTTGGAATTTCCTACTTATCATAGAATCATAAAAATTAAGGGCTGGAAGGGACGTCAAAAGATCAAGTCCAACCCCCCTGCTCTGGGCAGGAATACTGCTGACATCAAACGATCCCAGCAAGGTGTTTGTCCAGTCTCCTCTTGAAGACTTCCAAGGTTGGGGACTGAGCCACCTCCTTGGGAAGTCTATTCCAGATTCTGATCACCCTTGCCGTAAAAAATATTTTCCTTATATCAACCTGAAACCATCCTCTAACAGTTTAAGGCCCATTGCTCCTTATCCTCCCCTGGGATGCCCTAGTAAATAGTTTTCTCTCTCAGCTCCTGATATTCATTAGGCCTGTGCGAAGCAGCTAGTATTCGCTTCAGATTTGGATTTGGCCAATTCGGGGGACAGTGATTTGATTCTGTGATTCAAATCAGTGTCCTGAATCAATTCGGCCAAATCTGAATCGGAGATTCGGCCACCGCCAAATCAGCCAAATCTCCTAATCAAACAGGCCCCATCCTCCAGCCCCGTCGATGGCTGCTCCACCCAGCCCCAGCATCCTGGCACTTAAACAAAACAAACAAACAAAAAATGCCCCGCCCTCATCGGCTCCTGCCTTGCAGGGGTTGGGAGGGGCAATCCCCACTCTGCCACGAGCCCCTAGAGGCCCTGATGGCTGCCACAGCATCCGGTGATGGTGGGCCTTTTTTAAGTGCCAGGACACTGGGGCTGGGAGGGGCAGCCATTGACAGGGCTGGGAGACTGGGCGGGGGTAGGAGGAGCAGGCAGAGGACAGGGCCTGGCAGGGGTCCCCCCATGGTCCCCTCTGCCCTCCTCCCGCCCCCTGCCTACCCCCTACTTACTGGCACAGCGCCCAGCTCCAGCTCCCCGTGGCAGCAAGCAGGGACTGCTTGAATCTGAATTGATTCGAAGGCTTCAAATCAATTTGGACCTTTTTATTGGTCTTCCAATTCAATTTGGATTTGGAGATTCAGCCACCAAATTGGGCTGAATCCCCTCTGAATTGCATCAGCAACCAAAACTTTGCACAGCCCTAATTTTCACCCTTTATATACTTAGAGATGGCCACCAAGTTCCCCCTCAGTCTTCTCTTCCCCAGACTGAACAGTCCCAGATTCCTTAGTCTTTCCTCATAAGGTTTGTCCTCCAGGCCCTCATTTCATGTCATTCTTGTGGCCCTCCTCTGGACCCTTCAAGATTCTCCACATCTTTTTTGAAGTTCAGTGCCCAGAACTGGACACAGTACTCCAGCTGGGGTCTCACCAACTCTGAGTAGAAAGGAAGTATCACTTCCTTAGCCCTGCTCACAATGCATCAGCTAATGTATCCTAATATGCTATTAGCTCTGTTGACTACAGTGTCACACTGGTGGCTCATATTCATCCTGTGATCAGTCATAATCCTGAGGTCCCTTTCAGCCATCGTGCTATCCAGGACACCTCTTATATTCATGTTGCAGGTTACTTCTCCCCAGATGAAGCACTCTGCATTTATCCTTAATCAACTGCAATCGGTTCCACTCTGCCCACCTTTTCAGCTTGCCCAGGTCCACTTGGATCTGTGTCCTATCCCCTAGCATGACCACTTTTCTCCATAACTTAGTATCACCCGCAAACTTGGCAGCATGTTTTCTACATCTTCATCTAAATCATTGATAAAGATCTTGAACAGCACAGGACCCAAGAACCAGGGATACCATTGGCTACCTCCTGCCAAGACAATACAGACAGTCCACTAATACTCTCTGGGTTCGACCCTTTATCCAGATCCCAACCCACCTAACTGTGGACTCTGTCAGCCCACAATATGCTATTGTAATGAATTAAGGAAAGTAAAGGGGCCTACTTCAAGTGAAAATGGGTATGAGAGGGCTCTTCTTACCTAGCTTCTCTTTTGACCTGAAGTTACATATGAGGATTTCCCAGTAATTTGTAAGTTAGACTAATAGATTTCATAGAAAACCTTTTCCTGCATTCTGAGTCAAGCCAAATTTTAGTCATTTTAACATTGAGTAAATTCCTATAGATTGTCTCACTCCTTTGGACAGAGGAGTACCCAAAAGCTTTTGGGTTTTTTTTCAGTGTTTAGGTCAAGTGATCACTTTTTCTATTAATCATTTCTGCTCTTAGCTGAAACATCGAAGGAAGAACAGGGAAAATTTTTTTTTTTTACTTCTAGAGCTGCATTGCATTGCAGACATTTTCTATACACCACAATAAACCTGTGAAAGATGGAGTTTAGTGGAAATACCAGAGAGGAAAAAATGCTGTCATAAAAATTCAGATCCGGTATTGAAACCCCAAGGGTTCAGATAAGAATGCAAATTTTTGAAGGGTTCTTTGCGAGATTGTTATGCATCTACATAGTTGCTATTTGTCAAGAATCTGAAAACCTCTATATTTCTTCAAGTAAATCTCACAACACCTCTTTGAGATGCTCCTACATTCATTTTACAAATCAGGACACTGGGGCACAAAGAAAGGATTAGGGCAATTCAGTTAATTCTCTTGATATTTACAATGGGATTTTAGGTATCTGAATTATAGTAGGTGTCCAAACAGAAATGGGAACCTTAAACTAGTCAGCCATGTTTGGAAGCAAAACATTTCACTTGTATATCTGGACAACATCCTAAATTGTAGAAAATTGGTATAGCTCCATGGGCTGCATTAGCACTTGACTGATTTATGTCGAATGATGATCTGGACCACTAAAGAAATCCATCCGTCACTGACACACCACTCTGATCTTTCTCTCTGCGTTGTTCTTCAACATGGTGTTATTGATAACTCCAAAAACTATAAAAAAAGATTTGTTCTAGGCTGGAAAGCATCAAGAGAAGGGAAGCATCAAGGGAAGGCCTGGGATGCTAGACTTCACATTCATTTCCTACAGGATGGGATGCACATACAATTACATTTTACCTTGAGATTTGCTGGTTTCAGTGTTTCTTGTCTGTTGCTACAAGACAAAAATATATATTTCTATAATTTGTTGTTAAAATACAGTAAGCTGGCAAACAACTATTACATGTAAAAACTGTACTGGTGTTAAAAGGGAGGGGAAAAAAGGTGTGCTACCAAGGTGTAAGTATTCTTGTGTAATTTTCCACATCAGGAGATTCTCGAAGCAAAACTTTCCATCTGATGCGAGTGTTTCTATATAATGACAGCCCATTTTTTAATTTTGTATCTCTTTGAAGTTTGGTTGTGCTACCTCCACCTCACTGCTTGCCACCCAAGCTGCTTCTCTCCCTAATGTGTGCTGAAGATGTTCCACACATACCGTACAACTCTAGCACTTGCTCTGCTGCATGCACAGTGAATCTGTTAGCGTTTGCACTGCTTCTATCCTCTGCAATAAATTTTAATCAGATACTTTGTACCCAGTTGTACTCTTGACTGAAACCATCCAAAGTACTGTTGTTGCTAAGGAAACCACTTCCTTGTTATCTTCGTTCAGCACGTCTGCCTCATTTTCTTGCTGCCTCTCTCTCTCCCTCCCCCCCACCCCACCTCTTCTTCTCTCTGCCTCTGAGGGGCATCTTTATATCATTGCATTATAGAAGCAATGAACCATTTCCCCCCTCTTAAAGTGCAAACGGTCATTTGAAACGTGTAAGTAGTAGCTACAACTACAACTCTGGGCATTTATGCTCAACATATCTTTTCATGGGAATACTGTGTACACTCGCCCATATGCAACAAGAACCAGAGCCCAGTGGGGTCTGATTGCTGAATGGGTGCTTTAAACTCCCCTATCAGAAAGCGGGAAATTGACTCCAGGCTCCCTTTGAACTCGACTTAAGAAAAATGGATGCAGGAGAAGAACAGACACAGAGGAGGGACTGTGTGTTTGAATACTATTTTTCTAAATATAAAAGCTCCAAGCTGCTTTGCTCTTCCCCTCAAAACACCACACACCAGCCATGTCAGCCCCACTGCAGGATTACTTGTTTACCTCTTTCAGAAAGAAAGGCAGTCCCCTGAGCCATTTGACCACAAAATTGATTTCTGAACCTCTGCTTCCTACTGTCTCCTAATGTTTAAAGTTATGCAGTCGACAAGCAGACTGCAAGTGAAGCCTGCATTTAGAGTTACACTTCCAAGGCTGTGATCAGTATATGCAAAGATTTGAATCCCCCTTCCACGTGCATTTAATAATTAACAGAACAGTGATGTTTGTTGGATTGGACATGCACCCCTGGCTTCCACATTGTGAAGACAAAGGATGTAAACATGAATTGGAGTTAATTGTCTGGGACGGAGTCAGTGAGAAAAAGGGCACGAGGGCATAGGGGTCCTTATATTTTTTAATGACTATAGCAGCCAACAAAACAGTAATGATGAAAAGAAGCTGCAATCAGTCTTACTCTCATAGTTCTGATAAATTTTCTTCGGTTGATCTTAGGGTGGAAAAAAAATGCATGCAATACATCTAGCTGGGTGACATTGTCTCTTTAAACTTCTGTTACCCTCTGTAATTTTGAATTCTTAGCTCTCTCTCAATTCACTACCCTTTCCCTCACCTCTCTTTTTCATACAGACTAATTTCATATGCACATTTTATGAGATAGTTCTAGAATGAAGAAAAAAAATCATGAGTGAAAAGAAGGTAACCTATAATGTTATAGTCTCCACAATGCTTTCGCTTTGCCAAACTGGGCATCATTGCCATTAGTATTGAGTGTAAGGATCCTGCTGGTTCTGTTGCAGTTGTCCTATTGACTTTCTCTGGATGAATAAGTCGCTGTCAAGATTGCGACTAAATATCCACTTTAGAAAAGCACTTTTACCCATAAAGAGCATATTTTCCCTTCCTCGTCAGTCACAGCCAAGCACTGAAAAGCAAAATAAAAAAGGCAATCTGTGGAGACATATATAATTATAAGTAAATACTTTGTAGGTGTTAATTACTAATGCTCTTTTACCTGTGCTTGGTATAGTGATTCAAAAACACTTCTAAATAAAATTATGTGGGTAGTGTTATACCAACTTACTATTACTTTTCAAGAGTAGCTGCAAAAAATAAGCCAAATACTTTTCTTACATTATATTTCACATATGTAAATGCCAGTAAAATGAGCTCTAAATGCTGGTAAAGATTTCCTTGTTACAAAGAAGCTAAGACATTAACCCAGAAACAAAATCATTTCAACCTGTTTGTACTTACTCTCGGTCAGGGTGGGGAAGGACCCTGCATGCAAAGTATCTGTAAAAATTCAGATTGAGTATTCAAAACTTTAATTAATTACCTGAAAATGATTGTCTGTAGATGAACTGCCTCATCAGTATTCACCATCAGTGCAGAAGATGAAGGTGAAGGGGAAAAAATCCTGCAAACACAAGACAGCAGAGGAGTTAGAAAAAAAGTAAAGGTTGTCTTTTTAGTGGACCCGTGTAAGCATCTGAGCATATACTCATCGGAGTCTTAAACCTTAATTCTGTAGTTGCCAGATAATAAACAACCACCAATTCCTTAAACTGTTACTATTCAAAGCTACTTAGCTTCCTCAATCTGGGGGTACATCTTCAACTGAAATTAATGGAAATTGTCTATCCAGAGCAGATATGGAATAAAAAAGCCTTAAACAAGACTGCATTTGTACTAATAACTTCTTACTGACAGGAAATTCCTTCTGAAAATTTGAGCACTTTTGTTTGGACACAGAAATCATAATATAACATTTCTTTTTCCCTGTTTAGCTGAGCATGACTTCAGAATCAAGTTTCCAATGCTAATGCTGATTAACACAATTAGCACAGGATTGCTCTATAAATATTCTGCAATTATTGCTTAAAATGTTCCATTTTAGTGAACATTCTTATCAATAAGCTTGTTTGCCACAAAAAGTACAGAAAAAATGTGAAACGAGAGGAGGGTAGAACACAAATCATTCATATGAAATAAGCAAAAGAAATTTTACAGTAATAATGAGGCAATATTAATTCATCTCTTGAAATTGTATTAAACAAAGCATTTCTTTAGCACTTTATGACCCATCCACTAGAAATGCTAGTAGAGGACATCTGAGTAGAAAATTATAAACATACAATTTCTGCTTCTGTTGACCTAATGTCTAGGGTCATGATGCTCTCAAGCGACTGGTTCAAGTGATTATAAAACTTTATAACACTCAAAGTCACTTTCTTTCACATCAAGAAACAGAAGTCTATAGTTTGTCGTGTTCCCAGCCAAGAGATGTGGGGTTTTGAATAAATAAGGAACCATGATTCAAGCCTGGCGTGATACCATATTTTGGGAAGATGAAATTCTTTTTGTAACCAGTACAGGAATTTCATTTACATTCTTTTTAGGCCCTGAAACAGGTTGTAATTATGGTGCAAATAATGGCTTTCTACAGAACATATGAATGTGTTTAGATGCTTATACAGAGAAACAACAAGTGTGCATATATTCAGGCTTCTTCTCCCCAAAGTAAAAATGGCTGCTCCAGGGGAAAAAACCAACAACAAACCAAAACCTAGGAACAACCAGGGTTAAGTCACTCCCAAGGAGCTTCTTTTGAGAGAGTGAGTGTGTATACATGCTGTGGCTTCCCTCCAAAGAATACAGTCTTCCAGCATCCCTCCCCACCCATCCAGGCCCAGGGAGACAGTTTGTTGCTCGCCAGACTCTGCAACCCTTCATAATCCACACATTGTGCTGCAGGAAAACAGGCTAATGGGCAATCTGGGTTATCCAATCAGGGTTGCCCTATGAATTACTATAATTTATCACCACACAGACTAAAGGAGACCCTTCCCCCCCACTTCTCCTGCAGCTGCAGTGTGTCAGCACAGCAAGCTCTCTGCTCTTCAGGGCCTCAGCACTTGAATGCCCATACATGCAGCTCTGGGTAGGTTTCTCTACCAGGAGAACAAACCTGGGAGAATTCTTCCAGATTATATGAGTAAACTGGAGACCAACTGAATAAGCAGCACTGCAGAAAAGGATCTGTGGGTTATGGTGGACAATAAGCTGAATATGAGCCAACAGTGTGCCCTTGTTGTTGTTACTGAAGAAGGCTAATGGCAAACTGGGGACCATTATTAGGAGTGTTGCCAGCAGATGGAGGGAAGTGATCCTTCCCCTCTACTCGGCACTGGTGAGACCACATCTGGAGTACTGTGTCCAGTTTTGGGCCCTCCACTACAGAAAAAGATGTGGACAAATTAGAGAGAGTCCAGCAGAGGGCAACAAAATGGTTATGGGGCTGGGGCACATGACTCCTAAAATGAGGCTGAGGGAACTGGGCTTATTTAGTCTGGAAAAGAGAAGACAGAGGACATTTAATAGCAGCCTTCAACTACCTGAAGGGGAGTTCTGAAGAGGATGAGGCTAGACTGTTCTCAGTGGTGGCAGATGACTGAACAAGGAGAAGGGTCTCAAGTTGCAGCAAGGGAAGTTTAGGTTACATATTAGAAAAAAACTCTTACTAGGAAGGTAATGAAGCACTAGGACAGGCTACCCAGAGAGGCTGTGGAACCTGCATCTTTGGTGGTTTTAGACAAAGCCTTGGTTGGGATGATCTAGTTGGGGATGGTCCTGCTTTGAGCAGGTGAATGGACTAGGTGACTTTGAGGTCCCTTCCAATCCTAACTGTCTATGAATATTTGAATGTGTGTTTGCAGTCAATGTATTAAGTCACAACATAAATAATAACAGTGCTACCCATTCAGCCAATTTATGATGCCATAAAGTGGCAAACTATTGCCAAATATACCCCACAAAGTATGTGGAACATCTTTGTGGCTCTTTTGTATGCCACTATAAATGGCATCAGTAGCACCCCCATGCCTGTGCTGACAATTGGCATTTGATTGTCAGCATGGAAACAGGGACAGGGGTTGGCATCAGGACTGTAACAGCTCTGTTCCTGATGCCAAAAATGTGCTGCCAGAAAAGCAGGTTTCAAGGCTCCCTGGTAGGGGGTATCAAGGGGCTCCAGCCACTGGGAACCTGGCAGCTCCTGAGCCTGGCAACCTTTCATGCCTTGACTTGAAGTGAGTTGCAGAGAGAAGAGATGCACCTTCAGTTTTTAGATATACCAGAGGACAAGGACCCCAGAACAAGAGAAGCTTCCAGACCTGAGGATCCCAGTGCCCTGGGACTTCAAAAGGCCACACATGCATCTGGACTATCCTGGGGTTGGGCTAACAGTTAGCTGATTGTTGGGCTCAGCCCTGACAGCCCTGGGTTTTGAACCAGACCCAACAGGGACAGATCCACAAGGCGTGAAGGGGTGCAGTAGTGTGGGGCACCCTCTCCTTTTGGACCAGTTTTAACATGGGCCTTAGTCATAACAGAGTTCCCTTTCCTTCCTGTGAAGTCAGGAGACATATTTGAATCCCCATATTTCAGCCACCTGCTGCTTGGATGAACAAACTGACGAACAAAATGTTCTCAATTTTTGACCCATTTTGACACTACCCAACATAACCTGGCCTAATTACAGCCTCCAAAAAAATCAGCTCGTAGAGAATTCACAGGTTTCAAACAGTTCCTGGATTCTCAAATACATTGATTTATGCTGGTAGTCCGAAGGAACCCCAGAATCCTAAAGAAGACAATGGTTTATGTCTGGCATAATGGATCTTTCAACACAAATCTAATAGCAAAATTAGGCCAGTTTTCCATTTTTTTAAAAATCAGAGAGAAAGGAAAAAGGAAGCCAAGAGCCTTTTGCCCTTTACCTAGACTCACCACATTTTCACTATAATCAGACAATTTGAACATATGCCTTTTTGGAAGAAAACAACCTGATTATCACTAAAGAAGTTCCAGTTCTTTAAACTGTAACTATTTCTTCTTTTCCATTAATTAATTATTAGTAATGCATGTTTAAATAAAAGGGGTATTTTAAATAAAAGGGCCCACAATTTTATTGTGGAAATTATGTTGGTAGTAACAACATAGGACTTTTTATAGGACTCAGTAAATTGTTGGAAGTTTCTTGATTTAAAGATGTTGGAGGTCATTCTGTTACATTTTGTCAGAAGGGAAGCAAAGCTACAGTAGAGTACAGCATAAATAATTCTGTCAATGACCTATAACTCCAAGGTCAAAGATTTTACAGATGTATTATGAATTTCTTGACTATAATTCATTTTGTATTTTAGTTTTAAATGAAAAAAATTAAGTTTTATACATGTACATTTAAAATCTCTCTCTTTTCCCAGGATTTCCCTGAAGGGCAACTTGATCAGGATTTCTCAGCTTGTGGTATACAAATCGTCTTTGTAGTATATAGGGATTTTTTGAGGCTATTAAATGGAATAAAGACTGTTAACATTAATTGGGTTGCATTGGAGAGTCTTTTTTATGGATATGAATCCAATGGAAATAATAAAAGCCTATCCTTTTGGGTTATTCTAAATGGAAAGAAATACATTAAATATAGATGATTCCTGGAGTTTGTAAACTGTCTGCAATAATTAATATTTCAGAAGCCCATGAAAATAAATTGGAGGTAAGGAGCTACAAATGTAGCTTGGAATTCCAAATGTCTGATCCAAAGCTATACAAGGTCAGGGATGGAATTAACTTCTTCCCTTTAAGAGTCTCAGTGGGTGTTAAAAAGTTATATAACCATAACAAAAATTGGACTGGCGTCTGAAAGGAAAGCTCAAGGAGAATTACTTACCTAGATGATCAATACCATTCTAAAGGTTCAAGAACTTTGGCAACTTCTTCCCGAAGGTCAGTTCATGCGGTATCATGTGCTGTGTTCCAAGTTCCTGAGATTTAGTAACAACGAACACAACTATACACTTTCCTGATTATGAATGCTGTTACATGACTGGACATGCAGGAGTAAGTAAACTTTCAAAAACCTTGTTCCAGTACATACTGGGGTCATGTCAAAACTAGAGGAAGAATCCTTAGGGACAGTTGTTTAGTTGCTTCCAAGTCCAAAACACTACACAGAGCAGTTTCTGTTCAGCAAGAAGGGTTTTGTTTGCATTTTGTTTATTTTGAAAAAATATATAGTTCTCTACTGGTTGTGCACACAGTGATAACAACATTGATTGAAAGTCCATACCATGCTACTAAAATGGGCACTGGGAAAAGAACATGTTAAATCATTAAAAAATAAAAACAAAAAACCAAAACATTTTATCTCCTTAGTCACGAAAGGCATTGGTCCACAATTTTAAAGGGAAAACAAAAAGAGTTAAAGGAGTTATAAATTATAAATCGTAATTAGTTTATAAATGCTAAATATTAGCTAGTATGCGTGTATTAGTAATTCAGTTTCTACCCCGACCTCTCCCCAAAAAAGGGCAGAGGGTAGCTTACAATAAAAAGACAAACAGATAAAATAAACAATAA